AGTCTGAATGTCTGCTAACAGACTGGTGTATTTTTGCATTTGCAATTTAAAGAAAATGACCCTAATTGGTTTAAAATATGGTTTTATTTGTGTGTGTGTTTGTGGTGGGCTTCAAAACAACAGCTGTGTGGTACATTTGTTTTTGTACATGCATGTATGTGTTCTGGGTTTGTGCGGCCTCCTCAACCCAATTCCAATCCAGCTACTTTCACAACCAATCACCCAGGGATCTGTGCAGCTGGAGCTTACAGAAACCAGCTGTGTGCTGCTCAGGTCAGTGTGTAGACTGGCTCAGACTGGCTTACACCAGTTTTCACATCAGCTGACTGGTGAGGGGGGAATTTATGGGTTTGAGTTAAAAGAGGGTTGAAACATTATGCTGACTGAAATATTTATGTAAAGTTCAGTCCTGTGCCTAATATTAGAATTTAGAACATAAGTGGCAAAGTTAATGTGGTGAACTCATTATTTTTTGGGGTGTATATTTCAACTAATTCCATTAATGAAACCAACTAAAGTGATTAAATCCTCATTGTGTGGCTGTATGATTTAATATTCTAATAAAAATTCTAGGGATGGTGAGATCGAATCTTCTGGAGACGAGCGCTAAATCGGTTGGCCCTATGAATTTTCATCAACAGGAATCTACCTAAATGAAATTATGGAAATTAACTGCAAGTCTTGCTGAAGGCATCTTATTAGTCTTTTGAGAGAAGCAGGATAGTTTGTAGCTGAAAGTGAAGCAGCATTCATGTGATAATTTACGTACAGTCTTATCCGTGATGGTCACTGATTGTTTGGCTTTGATCTGTCACCGGTGAAATATCTCAGAATCAGCTTTACTGGCCAGGTGTGTCGGACACGCAAGGAATTTGACTCTGGTACATCGGCTCTCAATGTGCATGTACAGTGAAGAACAGACGTATTTGAACACCCTGCGATTTTGCAAGTTCTCCCACTTAGAAATCATGGAGGGGTTTGAAATTCACATTGTAGGTCCATTCCCACGCTGACAGACAGAATAAAAAAAAATTTCAGGAAATCACATTGTATGATTTTTAAAGAATTTATTTGTCTTGCACTGCTGAACATAAGTATTTGAACACCTGAGAAAATCAGTGTTAATATTTGGTACAGAAACCTTTGTTTGCAATTACAGAGGTCAAACGTTTCCTGTAGTTCTTGACCAGGTTTGCACACACTGCAACAGGGATTTTGGCCCACTCCTCCACACAGATCTCCTCTAGATCTGTCAGGTTTCGGGGCTGTCGCTGAGCAACGCGAAGTTTAAGCTCCCTCCAAAGATGATGTATTGGATTGAGGTCTGGAGACTGGCTAGGCCACTCCAGAACCTTGATATGCTTCTTACGGAGCCACTCCTTGGTTATCCTGGCTGTGTGCTTCGGGTCGTTGTCATGTTGGAAGACCCAGCCACGACCCATCTTCAATGCTCTGACTGAGGGAAGGAGGTTGTTGCTCAAAATCTCACAATAAATGGCCCCATTCATCCATTCATAGATCAACTGTTGGAGAAATTGTTAGAAAATGGAAGAGGCTAAACACGACTGTCAGTGTCCCTCGGACTGGGGCGCCATGCAAGATCTCACCTCGTGGGGTATCACTGATGATAAGAAAGGTGAGGAATCAGCCCAGAACTACAAGGGAGGAGCTGGTCAATGACATGAAGAGAGCTGGGACCACAGTTTCAAAGGTCACTGTCGGTAGAACACTACGCCGTCATGGTTTCAAATCATGCATTGCACGGAAGGTTCCCCTGCTCAAGTCATCACATGTCCAGGCCCGTCTGAAGTTTGCCAAAGACCATGTGGATGATCCAGAGGAGGCATGGGAGAAAGTCATGTGGTCAGATGAGACCAAAGTAGAACTTTTTGGTATAAACTTCACTCGTCGTGTTTGGAGGAAAAAGAAGGATGAGTTGCATCCCAAGAACACCATCCCTACTGTGAAGCATGGGGGTGGTAACATCATGCATTGGGGGTGCTTTTCTGCGAAGGGGACAGGACGTCTGCACTTTATTAAGGAGAGGATGAATGGGGCCATTTATTGTGAGATTTTGAGCAACAACCTCCTTCCCTCAGTCAGAGCATTGAAGATGGGTCGTGGCTGGGTCTTCCAACATGGCAACGCCCTGAATCACACAGCCAGGATAACCAAGGAGTGGTAAACTCTGCGTTGCTCAGCGACAGCCCCGAAACCTGACAGATCTAGAGGAGATCTGTGTGGAGGAGTGGGCCAAAATCCCTGTTGCAGTGTGTGCAAACCTGGTCAAGAACTACAGGAAACGTTTGACCTCTGTAATTGCAAACAAAGGTTTCTGTACCAAATATTAACACTGATTTTCTCAGGTGTTCAAATACTTATGTTCAGCAGTGCAAGACAAATAAATTCTTTAAAAAATCATACAATGTGATTTCCTGAAATTTTTTTTTATTCTGTCTCTGAGTGGGAATGCACCTACAATGTGAATTTCAGACCCCTCCATGATTTCTAAGTGGGAGAACTTGCAAAATCGCAGGGTGTTCAAATACTTCTGTTCCTCACTGTACATATCCCCATACAAGGGGCAAGTAAATAGTAAACCAACATAAGGCTGTGTAATATAACAACATAAGCAGTATTAACAAGAAACAAACAGTGCAAACAAAATAAACAAGCAGTAAACAATGCAGACAGACAAAGGAATGCTCATTGTGAAATTGTGCAGGAAGTACATCATCTATAGGCTGACTCATCACTGTCTTGGATGAGACCAATGACCGTTGTATCATCAACAAACTTAAGGAACTTAACAGAGGGGTCCTTCGAGATGCAGTTGTCGGTGTAGAGTGAAAACAGCAGAGGGGAGAGCGCACATCCCTGGGGGGTGCCTGTGCTTATTGTCTGGGTGCTGGGTGTAGTTTTCCCCAGCCTCACCTGCTGCTTCCTGTCTGCCAAAAAGCTAGTAATCCATTGACAGCTGGTGGCAGGCACAATGAGCTGGGTTAGTTTGGAGTGGAGGTTGCCTGGAATGATGGTGTTGAATGCTGAGCTGAAGTCCACAAAGGGGGCACATATCATCACAGTTTTGCCTTATTTAACTCATGTCCCCCCCTTATTTTGTCTCTCTTCTGTCCTTAGTAAATGTTATGCGCTGTTCAGTGTGCCACCAGGACTACAAACAGAGTGACATAATTGACAACTACTTTGTCAAAGATACCACAGAGGCCACCAGCACGTCTGATGAAAAAGCTGCACAGGTATGTCAGAACGTTTGGCCTAGTGGAGACGATACTTTGTACCCAAGTGTATCCACATCAATGCTTGTAGACTCATTTTAAAACAAGTCATACTCTTTAAATAGTCAATAATTTTTGTCAAGTCATTCTTAGTGGGAAGATGAGTTTGCAGTTGTTTTTTGTGATAATTTTCTTGATAGCTGCTGTAGAATATTTTAGAGCTGTTCTGTGCTGAGGTCAAATGTAAGAAAAATCAATCAACTTTTCCCGTTCCAAATATTTAATGGAACTCAACAGCCATCTCTTACAAGTAATTAAGATAGTTTTAATGCTCCCAGAACTAGTATGAGGTTATAGTGTCAAAATGCACTTACCATAGTAGAAATAATATGGTAACACCATGTACTGTAGCTTGCAAGATTGTTCTTGTATAACAAATTAGTTCTTATATTATCTCTGCCAAGGATCAGAGGTAATGCAGCCATGGTCCGCCATGCATATTTGTAAATTTTTTTTTTTTTTTTTTTTTGCGACTGCAAAATAACTGGCTTGAATGTTGAAATGTATATTCATGTTGCTAAGAGGGAGACATGTTTGTTTTGATTGCAATGGTTGTCCTCTTGTGCCACCAATAAAACCACACTATGTATATCTTGAAATATTACTCTTGACAAGAAAAATTGTTGTACATTAACTTCCTGACTTACTTAGTAGGCTGACATTTTCCTTGTATAGAAACCTTTTCTAAACAGTAGGTGCTACTATTATTGAACTGCAAATACAGAGAATGTGAAGTTGTCATCACCCTGTGTTGAATTTTGGTTAAATGCACCATGTCCAAATGCCTACTTTAGTGTTTAATTTGACTGCAGACAGGACAGAAATTGATTAATCTACACTGTTTGTGTCATCTGCCAACAGCTGCTAGCTAGTGTTAGCTCCCAAACTGAGAAAAGAGATCAGGGCACAGAGTCATTTTTCAGTCTCACTTTCGTCGACAGGATCTCCAGATCCGCTACGAATTGACTACAGTCAACTTAGGTTATCAATTCTGAATTACCACAGTCAGTAAAGTGAGATCTACATGATTTAAGCAACTTTTTAGCCAAACAAAACAAGAATGTAGGTAGGTAAGTACAGTTCCTCCTGGCTCCCCCGTCCCAAACCTCAGCATGGCCTGACATACACATACAGAACATTTATCTTGTTTTATGTTGTCCCATTGTGTAGCTGTACTATGTCAATATAAAGTCATCTTTTCATCATCTTAGCACACATTTCTAGGGGCTTTATCTTTTAGCACCACTACTGATTCTACAGAGCCGTTAAATAGCCCTCTTTCTCAGTCCAGTGTCTTTCAGGTGCTTGTTGGTACTCTCTTTTAAAGGTGTGCACGAGTTGTGAGGACAATGCAGGAACCATAGGCTTCTGTGTGGAGTGTGGAGAATGGCTGTGCAAGACATGTGTGGAGGCCCACCAAAGGGTCAAAATTACCAAGGACCACAAGATTTGCACAAAGGAGGATGCTGATGCTACCTCCGGTAAGATGGGCAGCGGTGAAGGAGGGGGTGTGGCGATGCACTTGGCTCATGAGACAAGACGATACATTATACTGGGTTCACGAGGACAAGACAAGGAGATATACAGTATTAATGCAATTTTTAAGAAATTTTCAGTGGTGAAATATATGACTGGAAAAATGGTCTTATTTGACAAGTCACAAAATGCAAAACAATGCAGCTGCATTTTGAAATGTTTTAACTAATCATCTTGTAATGACTCACTTCAGTTCTTGTGTGAGTATGATTTATTGTGCAGCAAGAACAATACGCAAGCACTGTAAAAGGTTTTGCCACAAGCTCAACTGACTGGCTTTTCTCCTGTATGAGTCTCTTCAGACCATATAACCGTGCATGAGCTATGCACGAGCTTCTAACAGAAGCTGTGTGTGACCTTCTATATGCTGCTTTGACTAGTCGCATATGATTGTGGCGTGGATGCCTACAGGAAGAGTCTTTTGTTGACCTTGTTGAGCATGAACATTCACTGCTATTCACTGTCGAATTTGGGCCACAGTTAATGCACCATAATGATATGCCATGGATTTTTGTTAGTACTGAATGTTAAACTGTATTTTTTTCTCTCAGTGCTGACACACTGGTGGTAGAATTAGTGCTAAGGTAAAGTAGGCTATGTTAGCAGCATGGCTGCTGCAACCTGAACCTCACACCAGAGTTTTCTGAGGCCTTTTCTGTCTGTTTGGGAACTGGTTGAGATATATCTACTGGGTCTTAGACACCACTTTTAGTTAGTTTGTTTATTTTTATAATTTATTTGTCTTTTCCCTCACCTGGAATTGTAGGTAATTTGTCTCTTCTGCTTTGTCTATAGAGTCTGTTGGTACATCAGGACAGAGACCTGTTTTCTGTCCCATCCACAAGCAGGAGCCACTGAAGCTTTTCTGTGAGACCTGTGACACTCTGACTTGTAGGGATTGCCAGCTGCTGGAACATAAGGAGCACAGGTAGCTCAGCATGCAAACATCTGTTTTGTTACTAATGAACCGTCAGTCTCTTGTTTTTCCACTTAAGCTACCAACACTGGTGGAAGAAGTACTCAGATTCTTTACTTGAATAGAAGTTGAATTACCACAGTGTAAAAACACTGTACTTTTACTTAGGTAATATTTTTATTGCGGTACCCTTACTTGTAACAAAATACAACGTGTAGCATTAAAATATACCTAAAGTACCATCACTTTAATGTTGCGGCTGGTAAAAGTGGAGCTTGTTTGAACTCTTTATATGCTTAAAATTTAAATTACTGCTGGATAGCTTGTGAATTTCTCACCAGGGATCAATCAATCAAGTCTTAATACTGTATTTTGCCAGATTCTGAAATTAATAACTAATTAAAGTGATCAAATAAATGTAGTAGAATACAAAGTACAGTATTTTTCTCTAAAATGTCATGAAGTAGCAGAAAATGAAAATACTCAAAGAACAAATACCTCAAAATTGTACTTGAGTACAGTGCTTGAGTACATGTACTTATTTTCCACCACTGGATAGCAAATTTTTAAAAGCCAGTATTTTGTGCTTTCGAGGGAGACAAAGAAGGCACCGGAATCTCCACGAGTCATTTTTGGAACCTAATATGTCAAACTGTGGTAACTTCTGCATCCATCTTCGGCGTGTTATCACCAGTTAAGATATGTCCTGCCCTCGCTTAAGAAAGCAGGGACTAACGCCATGCCTGCTTACGCTGATCAAACAATATTTTGAACTAATAATCAGGTTAATTTAAAATAGTATATTGGTTGCCTACTGGTTTGTCATGTTTTAAGCCATTAACTACAGTTTGTATATATGTTACTGCTGATCGTTTCCCACAGCACACCACACAGTTTTGATTGATCGCCTACCCTGCAGGCAGCCACTGATATCTGCTAATTCCAGTACATTATGGAAATTGGCTGCAGCGAGCTGAAACACTTGAAATCAGCAATACTGAGCCACGTGCTACCTTTATGTCTGTGTAACTATAAGTATGAATGTGCAAACCAAATTTTATGCCAATCTGGCTGTCAGGTTTTAAGATGTTGGTCACAAAAAAGAGGCTGACAAAGCAGTCACATTAGTCACCTCCTTGGCTGAGGTAAAACTGGGACACCAAGTATATTTTTCACATACTATGTTTTGTCAAATTGTTCCAAATAAAAGGAAATTCAGAGACACCTCTCCCTACTCCTGTGACATTTCAGTGGTATTTTCAATAAATGAACAGACAGTTAAAGAGCTACAAAGCCCCAAAATGCAACTATTGTCCAACAGTAGGATCACAATACAGCCAATACTTAGATATTTTTAAGACCAATAAAATAATTCCAACATACAGTACGAGTCTGTTCCACAAGTGCATTTGTTTTCAAATCATCAGATCCTCTTGCAGTGTTATGTCCCATCAGGAAAGCAGAGAAGCTACTTAAGTTTTCAGATGGTTTATCTTCAGACTCAGTGTTCTAGCAGCACACTCTTCAGTATAAGGTTGGTTACCTACAAAGGCACTGAATGATAGCAGTAGTTTGTAATCCTTGTGGTTTGAATCCGGAGCCCTGCTGAATTTCACTGTAGTGATCAAATTATGGTAGGGGTTCCTTGTAAAGCAAATGGAGCCTATCTGGTAGGATAGAAAATGAATAATGCCCAGCATGAAGCACAAGAAGGAATTTCCCACTTGCAAATTCTGATAAAGCTGAAAAACCAGTTTTCAGCTAACGACCCCTTGTCTGTCTGGAGAAACCTACAGAAAATCACTGGCTACTGGAAACCCACCCCCCACTATGGAAGGCAGTCAACTGGCAGACAACTTGAATGCATTTTACTGCAGGTTTGAGAAGCAGAATTTCACACCCCTCACCCACCTTATCTTGGATCCACAACCAGCAGTTACTTCGCCCATGATCACCTCCCTTCCCCCCAAAATGTGTTGTAAGAACTGTTATCATTCTCCGTTCCTGTGGTGTGGACACACAAAGTTCTAAAAGCCATGAAGAAGTTCCCAGAGTCTGAAAGCACCTTTTGTGGACAAACCTCTTTTTTTTTAACGCAATTTGAAGAGTGTTACCCCTCTGCTCTCAGGTACCAGTTCCTGGAGGAGGCTTTTCAGAACCAGAAGGGCATCATTGAGACCAGCATGGCCAAGCTACAGGAAAAGAAAAACTACGTACATTACTCTGTCTCTCAGGTGCAAAGCAGGTGCGAGTTGTTCATCCCTAGATTTCTTGCCAATGCTGCCCATCAGCATAGTTTCTGCATGTTAATACCCATTTCAACAGGTCAATGAATGCAGTTAGCATTGGTTTTGGTGTGGTGTCTCCCAGAATGAAGTGTTTTACTGTTTTTATTTTTCTTCCTTTTTTTTTTTATCCAGGATAAAAGAGCTGAATGAGACGCATAAGAAGGTGGAGCACGAGATCAAAATTGCAGTTTTTACTCTTATTAATGAGATCAACAAGAAGGGCAAGTCTTTGCTGCAGCAATTGGAGGTGAGAGAGAATAATGAAATTTAGTCTGGCCAGGAACTTCATATGGTGCTGGAAAATCACTTAGAAAACGTTATATTTTGCAGTAGGCACTTCTGAGAGCTCAGCTTATGCCTGTTGATTGACCGTATCTCCACTGAAATGTCCTAATTTTATTCCTGCAGTTAATGTTGACATCACTGAAGTTACACATTTGAAAATACAGTATATGATTTTGTATAGCTTGTGTCTTGACATACAAATAAGAAGAGACATTCAACATATTTGATAAAACCCGATTTTGTGTAT